GGGGGTCCCAACAGGGGCAGTCATGTGGTGCATCCATCTATGGCCAGCAGCTTGAAGATGAACTTCATCCAGACCTGAAGTTCGCTGGGGCTGGAAATCTCCCAATGGCCAGTTGAGGGCCAGACACCAGTGGCAGCCAGTTCTTTGTGACCCTTGCTCCCACCCAGTGGCTCCATGGTAAATGTACCATTTTTGGCCGAGTGTGCAGGACCCAGGAGTGGTCAGTCCAGTGGGAATGGTGGAAACCAACTCCCAGGACCTCCCTGTGGACAAGGTGAGGATCATTAAGGCATGCCCCCTGGGTGGGCCTGATGCCTCTGGGCACACCCCGGGCTCCTACAATGGCCCAGAAGACCAGCTGCCAGCTGACCTAGAGCGGGACCTGTCCCTCAACTTCATTTTGGCCTTGCATATATTGCATCTAAAGAAGCTTGGGATGGCGGGGGAGTTAGGAGATGGAAGTGGACTTTAATAGGACTCTGATAGGATAGGATGCTTCTTTTCTCGTCCTCCAGGGCCTGGGTGACAGGGCATTTGGCGAGGGGGCTACTGGTACTAAGGATTGAACTCACTGAGCTACGTCCTCAGCTCTTTTTACTGTTTGTTTGGAGACAAGGTCTCACTAAGTTGCTTAGGACCTTATGAAGTTGCTGAGGCTGTTCTCAAATTTGTGATCCTCCTGCCTCAGCCTCCGAGTTGCTGGGATTACAGGCATGTGCTGCCACCGTGCCTGGCCTCTATATTTTTATTGACATTTACTGCCGTACTTCTTCTGTGCATGTCTGCTCTGATACCCTTGGCTTCAGATACCCTTGGTCCCTCTGGTAGCCACAGCCACAGAACTCAAACCCAAGTGGTGTCTATGGGCCTCGTGAACCCTGCAAGCCTCATCTCAGTCTCCTTCCTGCCTTTGTTCTTCTGGGGGATGTATGCGACTCTGTGTATCCTCTCTCCCTGCTGTTTGCGATGCTTGAACGTCCCAGTCAAAGCCACACTGAATTTTTGCCAAATGGAAAATGCGTCCAATGATCTAGTTTCTAAGATGGTGTCAAGTGGTAATGACAAGGTATGATAATTGAGAAAGGAATTTATTAAGAGGAAGCAGAAGCACTGACCATTTTTTCCCCAGGAAGCAGAGGAAATTTTGAGTGAGCAGGACAGACTGCCTTCTCCTTCCAAAGCATCAAGGAAAAGCACCGCTGAAATTTTTCTAACCTAAGACTTAAAAAAATTAAATAAACACACACACACACACACACACACACATATACACACATATATGTATGTATACACACATTTATATATTTTTAAATCTTTCTGGATTAGGGGGAGGAGTAAAGATGATAGGAAGTGAATACTGATGTAATAAACAGAAACTTTGCAAGGAAGCTGGCCACAGTGGCACACGCCTACAATCCCAGCTTGGGAGGCGGAGGCAGGAGGTTTTTGAGTTCAAAGCCAGCCTCAGCAACTTAGTGAGGTCCTAAGTAACTTAGTGCCCTGTCTCAAAAAAATAAAAAGGGCTGAGAATGGGGCTCAGTAGTTAAGCATCCCTGGGTTCAATCTCTGGTACCAAAAACCAAAACCAACTCCCCCCCCCCAAAAAAAAACACCTTCCCAAGTAATGTGCTGCTGATGGATGAGGATCAAAACCAAACAAAACAACTGTCTCTTTTTCCATTTCTTAAAATAGGTCTTAAGGAAAAAATTGGTGATACATGCAAAGTTTTAAGCACAAAAATCTTCACTATCAAAACAACAACAACAA